CTGGGGGAAGGCTGAGAGCCCAGCTAGGCGTGATCAGTTTGAGAAGGTCAGAGGTGTTAAATAGGCAGTCACTGCCTCCCTTGGCTTCCCGAATTGCCCTCCCAGAACCTGCCAGCTGGGCTCAAGGCACCCAACCTCCCTCCTGCTCCTCCCAGGTCCATGGAGCTGGAGTCAGTGGGGATGGGTGGTGCGGCAGCCTTCCGGGAAGTTAGGGTGCAGTCAGTGGTGGTGGAGTTTCTGCTCACCCACGTGGACATCCTGTTCAGCGACACCTTCACCTCCGCAGGCCTCGACCCTGCAGGTATGCTCTTCCACCCCCTGAGGACCTGGCTACTGCCTCCCACGGTCAGGGCTGCAGGGGAGGGCAGGTGGGCTCCCAGTCCCATCCCTACCCCACTGAAGCTGGGCCTCCCTCCCGGCTCCCTGAGGACCCCGCCCCGTCCTCTCCCTCCCCGCGCCCCCCTCCTTCTCATTTCAGCTCCTCCTCCGCTCAGGATTCCCACCTCTTGGCCCGGACGCCGCTCTTTCTTCACCCCTTGTAGCTCCTGGGGGCGCTTGGGGCCATGGGTCCACCAGGGAGGAGGTGGGAGGTCCCCAGACTTGACCCCGCCCAGGCCCCACCCAGACTCCCAGCCCTGCCCCGGACCCACCCAGACTCCCCGCCCTGCCCCGGACCCCAGCCCAGTCAGGACTCAGCACGTCGGAGGGCCCTCTAGCCCGAGGTAACTGAAGCCAGAGCCGCTGCCCTCGCTGGCTGCTGGGAGCTGCCTCCTCATCAGCTCGTCCTGCTCCACCCTCCTCCCACCTGCCTGCTGCCCCCGCCCGCTCCTGCCTGTTCCGTCCCGCCTTGCCAGCCCGGGTGGGCACGCTGCGGGGCCGGGGCTTGGGCTGTGGCGCTTGGCTTTGCCTGTGGCGTTAGGTGGCCTCAGAGCTGACAGCTCCTCCCTTTCCACACTCCCCAGGCCGCTGCCTGCTCCCCAGGCCCAAGTCCCTTGCGGGCAGCTGCCCCTCTACCCGCCTGCTGACGCTGGAGGAAGCCCAGGCACGCACCCAGGGCCGGCTGGGGACACCCACGGAGCCCACAACTCCCAAGGCTCCGGCCTCACCTGTGGAAAGGTGAGTGGGATGCTGGATTCTAGGGGTGGCAAGGGGTAGGTGGAGGCCTGGTTCCTCAGATGGCCTCCCATTTCTCCTCCAAATTGCAGGAGGAAAGGGGAGAGAGGGGAGAAACAGCGGAAGCCAGGGGGCAGCAGCTGGAAGACATTCTTTGCACTGGGCCGGGGCCCCAGTGTCCCTCGAAAGAAGCCCCTGCCCTGGCTGGGTGGCACCCGTGCCCCACCGCAGCCTTCAGGTGAGAGGCTGGGCCATGGGCTGGTGGGCATTGGTAGTCGCTGGAGTGCCCTCCTACCTCTCCCTCTCCTGCAGGTGGCAGACCCGACACCGTCACACTGAGATCTGCCAAGAGCGAAGAGTCTCTGTCATCGCAGGCCAGCGGGGCTGGTGAGCAAGGGGGGGTGCTACCCTGTGCCCAAGTGGAGCCGGGAGGAAATGGGGCCCTGGTTTGGCCTCCAAATTTTGTACTTTGTTTTGGGGTCCTGGGGCTTTTAAAAAATTTAACCTGGTCTTTATATACAATGAGTTCCATACAGTATCACCTTTGGTTCATCACAGACTGAACTGAACTTATTGTTCCATGATGGGCCCTTTAGAAGTCTTTATTATTCCCGCTCAACATTTTAAAATAATATTATGGACATCCATGAACCCACCAGGCAAAACTAGAGCAGCCTGTTCCTTCTTCCCTTTGAGGTCCCCCCAATCGGAGGCATCCTCTCCATTCCAAGGCCACTGTGCCCTTGCTCTCCAGGTTTGATCACACACAGGTGTGTGTGTAAGGAACACACCGATTGCTCAGTTTGTGTCATTTTGGAAACTTTATTTAAAGAGCATTGTAATGAAAGGGGCAGCACCCTGAATGGGGAGCTTGGCTTTTTCCCCATCGCTACCTCGTAGTCCACAGCGCTGCTGGGTTCTGCCCTCTGGCCTCTTTGGGGGCTGCTTATCCATCACACCCAGCCATGGTTCTGGGGGCTCTTCTGAGCCACTGCGCCGTCCTCGCACTCCTGGGGTACTGCTCTCTACATATCCAGGAGCAGAGGCGCTGTCCTGCCAGCTCGTCAACCACGTGTGAGTCTGTCTCATGCTTACAGCGTGTGGGGTGGCCACAGGGCCTTTGTGTGTGGGGCCAAAAGTGTCCTCTTCATGGTCTCCTTCGCCATGAAACTGAACAGCTCTTCCTGGCTTCGCGGCCACTGTGGCCCTTTCTGGGGAAGTGTCTCTTCATGTCCTTTCCCCACCTTTCTGTGGGGCTGTGCACTCTATTCTCAGTGATGGTCTCACTGACTTCACCCCTCCAGGCCTCCAGAGGCTGCACAGGCTGCGGCGACCCCACTCCAGCAGCGATGCTTTCCCTGTGGGCCCAGCACCTGCCGGTTCCTGCGAGAGCCTGTCTTCATCTTCCTCCTCATCCTCCTCATCCTCCAAGTCTTCCTCTTCATCCTCCGAGTCCTCAGCAGCTGGGCTGGGGGCACTCTCTGGGTCCCCCTCGCACCGTACCTCAGCCTGGCTAGATGATGGTGATGAGCTGGACTTCAGCCCACCACGCTGCCTGGAGGGACTACGGGGGCTGGACTTTGATCCCTTAACCTTCCGCTGCAGCAGCCCCACCCCAGGGGATCCTGCACCTCCCGCCAGCCCAGCACCCCCCGCCCCTGCCTCTGCCTTCCCACCCAGGGTGACCCCACAGGCCATCGCACCTCGAGGGACCACATGCCCTGCCTCACCTGCTGCACTGGACATCTCTGAACCCCTGGCTGTAACAGTGCCACCTGCTGTCCTAGAACTGCTGGGGGCTGGAGGAACACCGGCCTCAGCCACCCCAACACCAGCTCTCAGCCCCAACCGGACCCTGCGCCCACATCTCATCCCACTGCTGCTTCGTGGAGGTGAGGCCCCACTGACTGACACCTGCCAACAGGAGACGTGCAGCAAGCTCCGGGGAGCCCAGGGCGGGCTCGGTGAGTCCTGCGCAGCCTTCCCACCCCTGCCCTGCCTGCCTTGCCTGCCTTCACTGACGCTGAGGTGCCAGACCCAGCTGAACCCCTCTTCATTTATATAGGTCCCGATACAGAGTCACCATTGCCACCCACTCATGTATCTCTCCTGCGACCTGGGGGTGCACCACCCCCACCCCCCAAGAACCCAGCACGCCTCATGGCCCTGGCCCTGGCTGAGCGGGCTCAGCAGGTGGCAGAGCAACAGAGCCAGCAGGATTGCGGGGGCACCCCACCTGCTGCCCAATCCCCCTTCCGCCGCTCACTGTCTCTAGAGGTGGGCGGGGAACCACCAGGGACCTCAGGGCGTATGCCAGCCCCCAACTCCCTAGCCCACCCGGGTGCCTGGGTGCCAGGACCCCCACCCTACTTACCAAGGCAACAAAGTGATGGGAGCATGCTGAGGAGCCAGCGGCCCATGGGGACCTCAAGGAGGGGACTCCGAGGCCCCACCCAGGTCAGTGCCCAGCTCAGAGCAGGTGCGGTGGGGGGCGGGGATGCCCCAGAGGCAGCAGCCCAGTCCCCATGTTCTGTCCCCTCACAGGTTCCTGCCCCCGGCTTCTTCTCCCCAGCCCCCAGGGAGTGCCTGCCACCCTTCCTTGGGGTCCCCAAGCCAGGCCTGTACCCTCTGGGGCCCCCATCCTTCCAGCCCAGTTCCCCAGCCACAGTCTGGAGGAGCTCCCTGGGCCCCCCTGTACCACTCGACAGGGGAGAGAACCTGTACTATGAGATCGGGGCAGGTGAGGGGTCCCCCTATTCCGGCCCCACCCGCTCCTGGAGTCCCTTTCGCTCCATGCCCCCCGACAGGCTCAATGCCTCCTACGGCATGCTGGGCCAATCGCCCCCACTCCACAGGTCCCCCGACTTCCTGCTCAACTACCCACCCACCCCCTCCTGCTTTCCCCCCGACCCCCTTGGCTACTCAGCCCCCCGGCACCCTGCCCGGCGCCCCACCCAGCCCGAGCCCCTCTACGTCAACCTAGCCCTGGGGCCCAGGGGTCCCTCACCTGCCTCTTCCTCCTCCTCTTCTCCTCCTGCCCACCCGCGAAGCCGTTCAGATCCCGGTCCCCCAGTTCCCCGCCTTCCCCAGAAACAACGGGCACCCTGGGGCCCCCGAACCCCTCACAGGGTGCCCAGTCCCTGGGGCCCCCCTGAGCCTCTCCTGCTCTACAGGGCAGCCCCACCAGCCTACGGGACGGGGGGTGAGCTCCACCGAGGGTCCTTGTACAGAAGTGGAGGACAAAGAGGGGAGGGGGCTGGTCCCCCACCCCCTTACCCCACTCCCAGCTGGTCCCTCCACTCTGAGGGCCAGACCCGAAGCTACTGCTGAGCGCCAGCTGGGAGGGGCCCTCCTTCCTTCCCTTCACCCTCACTGGATCTTGGCCCAGCCAAATCCCTTGTTTTGTATTTTCTTGAGCCCTGACCCCTAACCCCAGGTTTCTAACTTTGTAACTTGCTTCTGATGTGGGTTTCTAACCTGTAATCCCAGCTTCCCTATCCTGGGCTGACGGGTCTGCCCACCCCCCACCTCCCTCCATCCTGGGGGTCCTCGCACAAATCTGGGGAGGGGGTGCTAGGCTGACCCCATCCTCCTCTCCCTCCAGGAGCCCCCAGCATGTCCTAACCTGTGCACGGGGGTGGGGGCACAGTTCCTGCCCTTCTCTCCCCACATGCCCCACTAAACCATCTGACAACATTAACGAATAAAATGGCGAAAACGTGGCTGCTGGTGTCGTGCTGGGGCCAAACTCAGTGAGTGGAGAGAGACAGAGGAGGTGCTCTATCATTCTATTTCCTTTTGGGGGGGCACTGAGGCGGGAGTTACTCCTGGGAAGCTCTCAGAGGGAACCATGGGCACCCTGGGAGTCTGGGTCAGGGGTGGGGCTCAGGCTGGGCTTTTCTCCGAGCTGACATCCTTTTTGCAGCTCTGCCAGGATCTCCTCCAGCAGGTCCATCCTGGGGAGCAGGGAGGCAAGGGCAGACGTAGGGTTACCTCAGGGATGAAGAAGGGCCTCGGGGTCGTCCCACGCAAGGCCTCAGGTCTCACTTCTGCAGGCTGGGGAAAAGACCTCCTCCAGTCAGCTCAGCACCGGGTGTCTGCAGGAGAGAAGGCTGCAGCTGCCACCGGCTAGCCATGGCGCTCCAGCGGGCCTGGGCGGGCGGGATGGGGCACAGGCTGGGCTCGGGGTCCTCTGCTTAGCCTGCCCCTGTGGCCTTCCCTGCTGGCAGCCTCCCAGTGCGTGGGAAGCCTCCCTGTGGCTCAGCGGGCTGGGGGTGGGCTCACAGGGCTGGGGGTCCAGCAGGGTAACCCTGTGTGTGCGCCGCAGCAGCCCCTGCAGGGCTGGGGTCTTGGCTGAGAGCTTCCTCAAACTGCTCCGCAGAGCTCGGGGTCCCCAGCAGGGAGGCTGAGTCCTGGAGGCTGGAGTTGGAGTGCAGGGAAGGGCCCTGGGGGAAGCAGGGTTGGTTAAGGGTCACAGGTGAGAGAGGGGACAGTTGGGTGTCCCTGAAGTTCCCTGGTGAAAGGAGGGCAGCCAGGGAACCCGGGGTTGGTGACTACCGGAGGGCGGGCGGGGGGAGGGGGCCACAGGTTAGCAATGGGACAGCCATGCAGGGCTCTGGGGTATCCGTACCGTTGAGCCGGGCTCTCCGCAGCACTGCAGGTAGGCCCTGGCTGTGGGGCCGCTGCCTAGAGTCAAACTGCTGTCCGAGTTCCAAGCTACGCCCCTCGGGACCCTGCTGTGGCCTGTGACCTCAGGAGTCTCTGGGGCCTGCAGAGAGGCATGGCAGAGAGCTGCCGTGGCTTGCCCACGTGTCCCACAGCTCCCCTGGCCCCCCACAGCCCCATCCTGTCTCCCACCTGGGATGGGATGCGGCCTGGAGACACCACAGTGGGCACAGGCCTGGGTGTGCTCTTGGCTCTGTGAGCCATTTCACAGTACAGTTTCTCTGTGGGGACAAACCAGTTGGTCACATGGGGGGCACAGCTCAGCTGTGCCCAGCACCCACCATTGTCTCCTCCTCGTCCTCTCACGTGGTGGGGAAGCCTGGGGCGCAGGGGACAGCGTGGTCCACTCCATCGGGGAGCCTACCTCAGGAGCCACGTCCTGTAGACCAGAGGCTGCATATGGGGACATGGGCCTGCCTGGGGTCCCATGGCCACCACCCACCCCCTCCCGACCTGCCCTGTACCTGGGCCATGGCCTCCCGCAGTAGGTATCGGGTACTCTGCAGGCTGCCCCAGCGGTCGGCAGGTGCTAGGCCTAGCCCAGCTCGAAGCAGGGCCTGGTAGGGCGCTGGCACCCGAGGGTCCAGGGCCGGGCTCTCCCCTGCCTCCAGCTTGGCCTTCACCTCCGGTCCCCCTCTACCAGCCCAGGGCAGCTCTCCTGCCAGGAAGCACAGTTAGGGACCCAAGCAGGAGGGTGCCTCCGTGGGGCAGGGCGCAGCCACTCACTGACCGGTGAAGACCTCCTGGGCCAGGGTGCAGAAGCCGTAGAGGTCCGAGGTGGTGGTGGGAATGTCACTGCAGATCAGCTCAAGTGGCAGCCACGGGTACAGTTCAGGGGGTGGGGGAAGCCCTGGGCCTGGGCCTCCCCACGGGTAGCCCTGCTGTGGCCTGTGGACCCCAAGGGGCCTGGTGAGCCGACGGCTGCTGGACAGGGACGTGCACCCGCCACCAGACGGAGGAAAACTGAGACCCCAGCTCACACAGCAGCCCAGCAGTGGGAGGGCCAGCAAGCAACTCCTTACAACTCTCAGTGCTCCTCCCCACCCCCACCTCCTTCCTGGGGCCTACAGGACACAGCTGTGCCTGGCCAGGGAGGCTGGAGAATGGGGAGGAAGGGAGCGTGCAGGCCCGAGACAAGGGGCAGCAGGTGGGGCAGGTGCTCACCTGGGCCGCAGCCAGCGCTGGTGCAGGGGGCGCCCGTGCTCCAGGTGGGCCACTTTAGCCAGGCCTGGCCGCACCAGCTGCACAGCATGGGAGCTGAGGCCACCGTGAGCTCGCCAGCGGGCCTGCAGGAACAGCAGGGCCTCCAGCACCTGCAGCAGCAGCGGGCCAGGCGGCAGGCCCGGCACAGTCCGGGGTCCCTCCTCACTTGGTCCCCGAGGGTGCAGCACCCCGTGCAGGGAGCCCAGCCACACAGGCTCAAAGAGAAGGCACAGCCCCGACAGGTCTGCAGAGGGGCTCAGTGCCATCAGCAGCAACAGGCCGGGGTGGTGCAGCGTGCTGGGCAGGAGGAGAGCAGGCCGCTCAGGAGTAGGCCCCAGCCACACAGGGTGGGAGCTGCTCCTGGGCACAGACCCCCCACCACGTTCCGGGTCAGGTGGTCCGTACCGCCACCAGACAGAGGAGAATGACCCTGGGTCAGGCAGCCTAGCAGTGGAGGGCCAGCACCCAGCTCCCACCTTGTCCTGGTGCCCTCTGCACCCCCACCTCCTCTCTCAGGCCTACAAGGCACCGCACACAGAACTGGTACCCACCCACTGTCCAGTGGGGCCATCGCCCCAGCGGAAGAGCTCCATGACAGGTGCTGGCCCAGAAGTAAAGACTCCAGCCATGGCTACAGCCACACACCCTGGTCTTCCACGGGAGGGCCGGCAGGAGGCTGGGCTGGGGGCTGGCACGGGTACCTGCAGTGCTGAAGGTCAGCCAGCAGCACATCAGGCTGGGTTCCAGGGGACTTCAGCTGCCGCACGGTCACGGGGTGGCCCCTCCACAGGAGGCTGGAGAATGGGGGGCAGGGCAGGACAGGTCTGAGACAAGCGGGGGCTTTCCGGGGTGGGGGAGAGCAAGAGAGCTGACAGGGGCGCGGCGGGGCTCTCACTTGGCCATGAGGGTGTGGGAGCTGCTCTCGTAGGTGCGGTCGGCCTCTCCCTGGGCTGCCAGCAGCTCTTTGGGGTCCGCAAGGGGGATGCCCGTTACCAGCCCCAGCGGCCACAGGCTACTCAGCTGGGGACGAGGAGCAGGACCATGAGGCACGAAGAAGACGGGTGGTTCCCACTCCCCCAACCGCTCCCGCTTACCTGACCGAACCCCAAGGCCGGAACCTGGGGGGGCTCTCCTGATCTGCGCTAGTCTCAGCGCCCTGGGGTGGGGGCAGGCCGAGGATAAGTCTGGGGTAGCTGGGCATGGTGGGCGGGTGGGCTTCAGGGTGTGGACAGTTACCTGTCTGCCGGCATCAGCCTCAGGGAGGACAGGGAGTCAGGCGGGCTGTTCCCAGATCTGGCCTGCAACTGGCCCAGAGATGCCATGGGTGGCAACTCACCACCATGCAGTAAGGCTGATATGTGGGCCCCGCAGAGCTGGAACAGCTCCAGCACCTGGAGGAGGGCACGTGGGGTGAGGCCCAGTGGGAGCCGGCCCGGAACTCTCGCTCTCGCTCCCACCAAGGCCACTGCTCACCTCCCAGTTCTGCTGGGCCCCACCCTGCTCAGCCCAGTCTCGGGGGGTGCGACCCCGCTGGTCATGCAGTCGCAAGTCACCCCCCGCCTGCAGCAGGGGCACCATGACCAGGCTTCTCATCCCTCAGCTGCTTGGTGGAATGGAGGTGCCACTGACTGACACCTACCAGCAGGAGACCTGCAGCAAGCTCCAGGGAGCCCAGGGCGGGCTCGGCGAGTCCTGCGCAGCCTTCCCACTCCTGTCCTGCCTGCCCTCACTGACGCTGAGGTGCCGGACCCCGCTGAACCCCTCTCTTCATTCATTTATATAGGTCCTGATACAGAGTCACCATTGCCACCCCGTCCCTTGTCTCTCCTGCGACCTGGAGGTGCCCCAAGCCACCCCCTAAGAACCCAGCACGCCTCATGGCCCTGGCCCTGGCTGAGCGGGCTCAGCAGGAGTGCGGGGGCACCCCACCTGCTGCCCAATCCCCCTTCCGCCGCTCGCTGTCTCTGGAGGTGGGTGGGGAGCCACCAGGGACCTCAGGGAGTGTACCAGCCCCCAACTCCCTAGCCCACTCGGGCACCTGCGTGCCAGGACCCCCACCCTACTTACCAAGGCAACAAAGTGATGGGAGCATGCTGAGGAGCCAGCGGCCCATGGGGACCTCAAGGAGGGGACTCCGAGGCCCCACCCAGGTCAGTGCCCAGCTCAGAGCAGGTGCGGTGGGGGGCGGGGATGCCCCAGAGGCAGCAGCCCAGTCCCCATGTTCTGTCCCCTCACAGGTTCCTGCCCCCGGCTTCTTCTCCCCAGCCCCCAGGGAGTGCCTGCCACCCTTCCTTGGGGTCCCCAAGCCAGGCCTGTACCCTCTGGGGCCCCCATCCTTCCAGCCCAGTTCCCCAGCCACAGTCTGGAGGAGCTCCCTGGGCCCCCCTGTACCACTCGACAGGGGAGAGAACCTGTACTATGAGATCGGGGCAGGTGAGGGGTCCCCCTATTCCGGCCCCACCCGCTCCTGGAGTCCCTTTCGCTCCATGCCCCCCGACAGGCTCAATGCCTCCTACGGCATGCTGGGCCAATCGCCCCCACTCCACAGGTCCCCCGACTTCCTGCTCAACTACCCACCCACCCCCTCCTGCTTTCCCCCCGACCCCCTTGGCTACTCAGCCCCCCGGCACCCTGCCCGGCGCCCCACCCAGCCCGAGCCCCTCTACGTCAACCTAGCCCTGGGGCCCAGGGGTCCCTCACCTGCCTCTTCCTCCTCCTCTTCTCCTCCTGCCCACCCGCGAAGCCGTTCAGATCCCGGTCCCCCAGTTCCCCGCCTTCCCCAGAAACAACGGGCACCCTGGGGCCCCCGAACCCCTCACAGGGTGCCCAGTCCCTGGGGCCCCCCTGAGCCTCTCCTGCTCTACAGGGCAGCCCCACCAGCCTACGGGACGGGGGGTGAGCTCCACCGAGGGTCCTTGTACAGAAGTGGAGGACAAAGAGGGGAGGGGGCTGGTCCCCCACCCCCTTACCCCACTCCCAGCTGGTCCCTCCACTCTGAGGGCCAGACCCGAAGCTACTGCTGAGCGCCAGCTGGGAGGGGCCCTCCTTCCTTCCCTTCACCCTCACTGGATCTTGGCCCAGCCAAATCCCTTGTTTTGTATTTTCTTGAGCCCTGACCCCTAACCCCAGGTTTCTAACTTTGTAACTTGCTTCTGATGTGGGTTTCTAACCTGTAATCCCAGCTTCCCTATCCTGGGCTGACGGGTCTGCCCACCCCCCACCTCCCTCCATCCTGGGGGTCCTCGCACAAATCTGGGGAGGGGGTGCTAGGCTGACCCCATCCTCCTCTCCCTCCAGGAGCCCCCAGCATGTCCTAACCTGTGCACGGGGGTGGGGGCACAGTTCCTGCCCTTCTCTCCCCACATGCCCCACTAAACCATCTGACAACATTAACGAATAAAATGGCGAAAACGTGGCTGCTGGTGTCGTGCTGGGGCCAAACTCAGTGAGTGGAGAGAGACAGAGGAGGTGCTCTATCATTCTATTTCCTTTTGGGGGGGCACTGAGGCGGGAGTTACTCCTGGGAAGCTCTCAGAGGGAACCATGGGCACCCTGGGAGTCTGGGTCAGGGGTGGGGCTCAGGCTGGGCTTTTCTCCGAGCTGACATCCTTTTTGCAGCTCTGCCAGGATCTCCTCCAGCAGGTCCATCCTGGGGAGCAGGGAGGCAAGGGCAGACGTAGGGTTACCTCAGGGATGAAGAAGGGCCTCGGGGTCGTCCCACGCAAGGCCTCAGGTCTCACTTCTGCAGGCTGGGGAAAAGACCTCCTCCAGTCAGCTCAGCACCGGGTGTCTGCAGGAGAGAAGGCTGCAGCTGCCACCGGCTAGCCATGGCGCTCCAGCGGGCCTGGGCGGGCGGGATGGGGCACAGGCTGGGCTCGGGGTCCTCTGCTTAGCCTGCCCCTGTGGCCTTCCCTGCTGGCAGCCTCCCAGTGCGTGGGAAGCCTCCCTGTGGCTCAGCGGGCTGGGGGTGGGCTCACAGGGCTGGGGGTCCAGCAGGGTAACCCTGTGTGTGCGCCGCAGCAGCCCCTGCAGGGCTGGGGTCTTGGCTGAGAGCTTCCTCAAACTGCTCCGCAGAGCTCGGGGTCCCCAGCAGGGAGGCTGAGTCCTGGAGGCTGGAGTTGGAGTGCAGGGAAGGGCCCTGGGGGAAGCAGGGTTGGTTAAGGGTCACAGGTGAGAGAGGGGACAGTTGGGTGTCCCTGAAGTTCCCTGGTGAAAGGAGGGCAGCCAGGGAACCCGGGGTTGGTGACTACCGGAGGGCGGGCGGGGGGAGGGGGCCACAGGTTAGCAATGGGACAGCCATGCAGGGCTCTGGGGTATCCGTACCGTTGAGCCGGGCTCTCCGCAGCACTGCAGGTAGGCCCTGGCTGTGGGGCCGCTGCCTAGAGTCAAACTGCTGTCCGAGTTCCAAGCTACGCCCCTCGGGACCCTGCTGTGGCCTGTGACCTCAGGAGTCTCTGGGGCCTGCAGAGAGGCATGGCAGAGAGCTGCCGTGGCTTGCCCACGTGTCCCACAGCTCCCCTGGCCCCCCACAGCCCCATCCTGTCTCCCACCTGGGATGGGATGCGGCCTGGAGACACCACAGTGGGCACAGGCCTGGGTGTGCTCTTGGCTCTGTGAGCCATTTCACAGTACAGTTTCTCTGTGGGGACAAACCAGTTGGTCACATGGGGGGCACAGCTCAGCTGTGCCCAGCACCCACCATTGTCTCCTCCTCGCCCTCTCACGTGGTGGGGAAGCCTGGGGCGCAGGGGACGGCGTAGTCCACTCCATCGGGGAGCCTACCTCAGGAGCCACGTCCTGTAGACCAGAGGCTGCATATGGGGACATGGGCCTGCCTGGGGTCCCATGGCCACCACCCACCCCCTCCCGACCTGCCCTGTACCTGGGCCATGGCCTCCCGCAGTAGGTATCGGGTACTCTGCAGGCTGCCCCAGCGGTCGGCAGGTGCTAGGCCTAGCCCAGCTCGAAGCAGGGCCTGGTAGGGCGCTGGCACCCGAGGGTCCAGGGCCGGGCTCTCCCCTGCCTCCAGCTTGGCCTTCACCTCCGGTCCCCCTCTACCAGCCCAGGGCAGCTCTCCTGCCAGGAAGCACAGTTAGGGACCCAAGCAGGAGGGTGCCTCCGTGGGGCAGGGCGCAGCCACTCACTGACCAGGTGAAGACCTCCTGGGCCAGGGTGCAGAAGCCTGTAGAGGTCCGAGGTGGTGGTGGGAATGTCACTGCAGATCAGCTCAAGTGGCAGCCACGGGTACAGTTCAGGGGGTGGGGGAAGCCCTGGGCCTGGGCCTCCCCACGGGTAGCCCTGCTGTGGCCTGTGGACCCCAAGGGGCCTGGTGAGCCGACGGCTGCTGGACAGGGTACGTGCACCCGCCACCAGACGGAGGAAAACTGAGACCCCAGCTCACACAGCAGCCCAGCAGTGGGAGGGCCAGCAAGCAACTCCTTACAACTCTCAGTGCTCCTCCCCACCCCCACCTCCTTCCTGGGGCCTACAGGACACAGCTGTGCCTGGCCAGGGAGGCTGGAGAATGGGGAGGAAGGGAGCGTGCAGGCCCGAGACAAGGGGCAGCAGGTGGGGCAGGTGCTCACCTGGGCCGCAGCCAGCGCTGGTGCAGGGGGCGCCCGTGCTCCAGGTGGGCCACTTTAGCCAGGCCTGGCCGCACCAGCTGCACAGCATGGGAGCTGAGGCCACCGTGAGCTCGCCAGCGGGCCTGCAGGAACAGCAGGGCCTCCAGCACCTGCAGCAGCAGCGGGCCAGGCGGCAGGCCCGGCACAGTCCGGGGTCCCTCCTCACTTGGTCCCCGAGGGTGCAGCACCCCGTGCAGGGAGCCCAGCCACACAGGCTCAAAGAGAAGGCACAGCCCCGACAGGTCTGCAGAGGGGCTCAGTGCCATCAGCAGCAACAGGCCGGGGTGGTGCAGCGTGCTGGGCAGGAGGAGAGCAGGCCGCTCAGGAGTAGGCCCCAGCCACACAGGGTGGGAGCTGCTCCTGGGCACAGACCCCCCACCACGTTCCGGGTCAGGTGGTCCGTACCGCCACCAGACAGAGGAGAATGACCCTGGGTCAGGCAGCCTAGCAGTGGAGGGCCAGCACCCAGCTCCCACCTTGTCCTGGTGCCCTCTGCACCCCCACCTCCTCTCTCAGGCCTACAAGGCACCGCACACAGAACTGGTACCCACCCACTGTCCAGTGGGGCCATCGCCCCAGCGGAAGAGCTCCATGACAGGTGCTGGCCCAGAAGTAAAGACTCCAGCCATGGCTACAGCCACACACCCTGGTCTTCCACGGGAGGGCCGGCAGGAGGCTGGGCTGGGGGCTGGCACGGGTACCTGCAGTGCTGAAGGTCAGCCAGCAGCACATCAGGCTGGGTTCCAGGGGACTTCAGCTGCCGCACGGTCACGGGGTGGCCCCTCCACAGGAGGCTGGAGAATGGGGGGCGGGGCAGGACAGGTCTGAGACAAGCGGGGGCTTTCCGGGGTGGGGGAGAGCAAGAGAGCTGACAGGGGCGCGGCGGGGCTCTCACTTGGCCATGAGGGTGTGGGAGCTGCTCTCGTAGGTGCGGTCGGCCTCTCCCTGGGCTGCCAGCAGCTCTTTGGGGTCCGCAAGGGGGATGCCCGTTACCAGCCCCAGCGGCCACAGGCTACTCAGCTGGGGACAAGGAGCAGGACCATGAGGCACGAAGAAGACGGGTGGTTCCCACTCCCCCAACGGCTCCCGCTTACCTGACCGAACCCCAAGGCCGGAACCTGGGGGGCTCTCCTGATCTGCGCTAGTCTCAGCGCCCTGGGGTGGGGGCAGGCCGAGGATAAGTCTGGGGTAGCTGGGCATGGTGGGCGGGTGGGCTTCAGGGTGTGGACAGTTACCTGTCTGCCGGCATCAGCCTCAGGGAGGACAGGGAGTCAGGCGGGCTGTTCCCAGATCTGGCCTGCAACTGGCCCAGAGATGCCATGGGTGGCAACTCACCACCATGCAGTAAGGCTGATATGTGGGCCCCGCAGAGCTGGAACAGCTCCAGCACCTGGAGGAGGGCACGTGGGGTGAGGCCCAGTGGGAGCCGGCCCGGAACTCTCGCTCTCGCTCCCACCAAGGCCACTGCTCACCTCCCAGTTCTGCTGGGCCCCACCCTGCTCAGCCCAGTCTCGGGGGGTGCGACCCCGCTGGTCATGCAGTCGCAAGTCACCCCCCGCCTGCAGCAGGGGCACCATGACCAGGCTTCGGCCAGAGAAGGCGCCTGCATGTGTAGGTGTGCTGCCATCCAGGCAGCGGCTAGAGCAGAACAAGGCAAGTGGTAGTCAAAGAAGAGACTCAATAGGGACTTAAAGGGGCAGGAAGAGGGCCCTGTGGGGTGGGAGGAATCATATGAGAATGGGAGGGGTCAGGTGAGGACATGATGGGATCTTTAGGGGATCAGGATCACTGCCAACACGGAGGTACCGGGAGAATGGGAAGAGTCAGTGGGGAATGGGCAGGGGTTAACTGAGAGGACAAGGAGGGTCACCCAAGAATGGAAGAGGTGTCACGAGGAAAGCATGCCTCAGGAGAGGAAAGCCCTGGCTCTCAGGGGCTCAAAGTCAGGCCCCTGGGATGGGAGGCATCACTGGCTGGCCACTCACTGGTTGGGGTTGGCTCCAAAGGTCAGCAGGAGCTGCACGGCAGAGCTGTGGCCCAGCAGCGCTGACAGGAAGAGCGCCGTCTGCCCCTCGGAGTTTTCCCCATCCACCTGGACACCTGAGGGGCAGGCAAGCTTAGGACACCCCTGGTCCACACTCCTGAGTTGGAGGCCTGAGGGCCGAGAGGCAAACACCCTTGCCGATTCCCATCCTCCACACCCTCTCCTTGACTGGAATGACTGTGGACCCCAGGTTCCATCTCTGTGTCCTGGAACCCCCACCCTCCAGCTGCTGAGGACCATGCCTCGAAATCCACCTCAATACAGTGCTCCCAAAACGATTAAGTCTACAAATTTGAAACAAGGGGTGACATCTGCCTGCTATGCAAATATCTATCCCCCATCCCGGTGGGGTCAAAACCATACAAAGTTCCCTAGGGGACTTCGCGACCTTGACTTCCAGGAGCCTCCTGCTCTGGCCAAGACAGGTGGACTCCACCCAGCTGTGACTCAGTGTGGTACACACAGGTCCCATGAAGCCAGCTCTCAGCTCTTCAAGAAAAGCAAACTCTGGATTTTATCAGGAGATCGCTCCAATTTTTATTTTAATTTTTAATTTTTTGTAAAGATGGGGTCTCACTATGCTGCCCAGGCTGGTCTTGATCTCCTGGGCTCAAGCAGTTCTCCTGCCTTGGCTTCCCAAAGTACTGAGATTACAGGCATGAGCCACCATGTAGAGACTTAATTTTATTTTTGAAGCCTGCATATAAGGGCTTGATCCTAGTGGCAACCTCCTCCAAGCCCTCACCTCCAGGCCTCTGCCAATTCCCTCCCCAGCCATCTTCCTGCTCAGCTACCCCTCCCGACCACTCACCCCTGCCCAGAGCCCTGGATCTTCCCACCCATCATTGCCCAGTTCCTCTTTGTCCAGCCCCCTACCCCAGATAGGGCAAACGCACAGTATCCCTGTCCTTGCACTCCTGTGCCCTTGGCAGATACAGCTAATTATTCATGAACTGGGCCCAACCTGACGTGGTCTCTACCACAAAATCCATCCAAATGTGGACCTTCAATACCAGATCCGCAGCATTGCATTTGACTCAATAGACCACCATCTTTTACAACAGCGTCTTAACTGCCTTTCCACACTCATACTGCCCCACAGAGGCCTCTTTTTTTTTTTTTCCTGAGACAGACTCTCACTTTGTTGTCGAGGCTAGAGTGCAATGGCGAGATCTTGACTCACTGCAACCTCTGAATCCCAGGTCCAAGCAATTCTTCTGCTTCAGCCTCTCAAATAGCTGGAATTACAGGTGTGTGCCACCACACCCAGCTAATTTTTTTGTGTAATTTTAGTAGAGTCGGGGTCTCATCATGTTGGCCAGGCTGATCTCGAACTCCTGACCTCAGGTGATCCGCCCGCCTTGGCCTCCCAAAGTGCTGCGATTACAGGCATGAGCCATCGCACCTGGCCTTTTTTTTTTTTTTTTTTTTTTTTTAAGGCATGGTGGCTCACACTTGTAATCCCAGCACTTTTAGCCTCCATCAGGAGGCAGAGGCAGGCGGATGACCTGAGGTCAGGAGTTTGAGACCACACTGCCCAACATGGAGAAACCCGTGTCTCTACTAAAAATACAAAATTAGCTGGGTGTGGTGGCACATGACTGTAATCCCAGCTGCTCAGGAGGCTGAGGCAGGAAAATCGCTTGAACCTGGGAGTTGGAGGTTGCGGTGAACCGAGATCACGTCATTGCACTCCACCCTGGGCAATGAGAGCAAAACTCTGACTCTAAAAAAAAATAAAATAAAAATAAAGTCACTTTGTCACCCAGGCTGGAGTGCAGTGCCACAATCACAGCTCACTGTAGCCTCGACCTTCTGAGCTGAAGGGATCCTCCCACCTCAGCCTCTTGAGCAGCTAGGACTACAGGAGCTAGCACACTCCACCGAACCTGGCCCGAGGGCTCTTCCTAAAACACAAATCACTTTAAGGACTAGATAATCTTATATGAGTTGTTCCAAAGAAAAGAAAAATAGAAAAAGAAGACAAAGCTCATTTTATAAGGCTAACAGGATCTTAATTCCAAAACCAGATGAAAGTTTCCAGAAACAGAAAGATTATGTATCAATTACATGTATATGCAAAAACCTTAAATAAAATAAAACAGATTTGTCCTTATAAAGCAAGGATGATTCAACATAAAAAAATCTATTGGCTGGGACTGGTGGCTTACACCTATAATCTCAACACTTTGGGAGGCAGAGGCGGGCAGATCAAAAGGTCAGGAGTTTGAGACCAGCCTGACCAATATGGTGAAACACCCGTCTCTACTAAAAATACAAAAATTAGTCAGGCATGGTGGCAAGTGCCTGTGATCCCAGCTATTTGGGAGTCTGAGGCAGGATAACTGCTTGAACTCAGGAGGCAAAGGTTGTAGTGAGCTGATATCAAGCCACTGCCCTCCAGCCTGGGCAACAGAGTGAGACCCTGTGTCCAAAAAAAAAAAAAATTACAACTAGTAAGCAAGTAAGAAAGTAGTCTGAAACACAACCAACTTTACAAAAACCAGAACAGAAATCGTAAAAATTTTTTTTGAGACAGAGTCTCACTTTGTCCTCCAGGCTGGAGTGCAGTGGCGTGATCTCAGCTCAGTGCAACCTCCATCTCGCAGGTTCAAGCCATTCTCCTGCCTCAGCCTCCTGAGTAGCTGGGATTACAGGCACCTGCCACTACACCCAGCTAATTTTTTGTAGTTTTAGTAGAGACGAGGTTTCATCATGTTGGCCAGGCTGGTCTCCATCTCCTGACCTCATGATCCGCCCACCTCAGCCTCCCAGAGTGCTGGGATTACAGGTGTGAGCCACCATGCCCGGTCATCTGTCCCCACTACTTTTCCCCTTTTTTGCATAGCTGGCTGTTATACTGTGAGACTCAAGCATCTCCCACCTGAAAGGCCATGCTGTCTACTAACTCATCCTCATCCCAATGAATTTCATTCCCAGTGGATCCAAGGATCATATTCACCCTTCAGTCCCCATCAGGGACCACAGAACTCAGAGCTCAGCGCACAGCAGGTGATCTGTACCACTGCTGACTGGCCAACTGAAGCCACGTCCTCCGTATAGTTACGTGATCCCGTCCCAACAGATGTACCCGCAACCAGACCCTCACCTCTCTGCAGCAGTCTGGCCAGGACCCATCCTGGGCCCCCAGCCACCGCCAGGCGGTGCAGACGGCCCACCTGGGTATCTAGATCTCTCTCGGAGGCCAGCTTCACCGGGAAGCGAAAGGGTGGTGAGGGCATCTGTGGGCTGCAACTCAGTCTGCTCTTGGGCAGGGATCCCTGGGGGATGTGAAGGACCGGAACTTTGGGGACGACAAAACAATAAAGACAGAGCTGGCTGGGGGCCCTGGGGGCGCAGTCTAGACAGGAAGGGGATTCACGAAGGGTCTGATGGGAAGGGAGGCGGCTGAATGAGAAAAGGGGGTGGCTCTGGGAGGACAACACACCAGAAGGTCTGGGGTGGAAGGAAGGCTGAGAGCTGAGGGGGATCTAAGGCAATAGGGAGGCTGGGAGGGGGCTTAGGGCTGGGGTCAGGCATGCCAGGGTGGCGAGGATAGAATCTGAGCCTGGGAAAGGAGTTGGAGGGCTCGGGAGGAGGCTTTGAAGGCTGCGGTGGGAGCAAGAGGCGCCTGTGGTTTAGGATCTGAGAGGCGGTGAGAAGGGTCGTGGGGAGGCTCTGGAGACAACGTCTGTGGGGTCCGCGGAGGGGTGGGGTCCGCGGAAGGGGTGGGTCTGAGGGCAGCTGGCAGGCTCTGAAGGAGGAGTGGGCTCTGACGGCAGGATCTGCCAACTGCGCAAGGGTCTGCGGGTGGGGCATGTGGACTAAGGACTAGGGAAGGGTCTGTGTTGGGGGTGGGGGCAGCAGGCTGGAGAAAGGGGCTCTGAGGACACCGTGTGGGTCTGGGGAAGTGGTCAGCGGAATGCGGACAGGGTTTGCTAAAGGAGTGGAGGAGGGGTCTGAGGGCGGAAGAGACAGACAGGGTGGGAGGGGCCTGAGAGCTGAAGGAAGGGTCTGAGGGCGACCTGAGGGCCCAGAAAGCTCTGGGAAAGTTCTGAGCCCAGACCCCAATTCAGGTGGCTTTGCACTTACCGTTGAGCTCAATAGTGGCCGCCTCGTGACTGCCACGTGACCCGGTAGTGTTAGCGGGAATCGAGGCGCTTGCGCACCAATGGCCTCCCACGGAGCCTGCGCACCAATGGCTGCCTGCAGCGCCTGCGCAGTAGCACCTGCTTCCCCAACACAGCACCTGCTACTCGGCCTGGGACCCACAGCCCTGTCCGGTCCTGGCTGTCACTGTCTGAGTATGGGTCTGTCTATCCCCACCGGACTAAGCCCAGGGCCTGGGGTCATTCTTGTCACGGTTGTGTTCACAGCGTTGTTCACCCCAGAACCTAGCTCAAAAGAGGCCTCATTCAGTGCTTTCATTCTCACTCTGTCGCCCAGGCTGGGGTGCAGTGGCGCTATCTCGGCTCACTGCAACCTCCACCTCCCAGGTTCAAGTGATTCTTCTGTTTCAGCCTCCCGAGCAATCTGAGCTCCCAGCAATTTTTGCCTCCGGGTTTAAGCGATTCTTCTGCCTCAGCCTCTGGAATAGCTGGGATTACAGGCGCGTGCCACCACGTCCAGCTAATTTTTGTATTTTTAGTAAAGACGTGGTTTCACCAAGTTGGCCAGGTTGGTCTCCAACTCCTGACCTCCTCCCGCCTCAGCCTCCCAAAGTGCTGGGATTATGGCCATGAGCCACCGAACACGGCGTTTTTCTCAGACAGGATCTCACTCTGTTGCCCAGGCTGGTGTGCAGTGGCGAGATCATAGCTCACTCCAGCCTCTACCTCCAGGGTTCAAACCAACCTCCTGCCTCAGCCTCCCAAGTGGCTGGGACCACAGGCACAGGTCACCCACCACACCAGGCTAATTTTTTTCTCCCCCTCCTCCTCTTTTTTTTTTTTAGAGATGAAATTTCATTATGTTGCCCAGGCTGGTCTCAACCTCCTGACCTCAAGCAATCCACCCGCCTTGGTCTCCCAAAGTTCTAGGAGTATAGACATGAGTCACTGTGCCCAGTTTCATTCAGTGCTTATTAACTAAGAGAGTGGCTTGGCTCTTTCCTCTGTCGCTTCCTGGCCACATGGCCGGGGCCCGGCCCCTTGACTTCAATGCCTTGGTCTCTGCTCCCCATGTGCGCCCTTCCTAATTTAGGCATCCCCTGGGATGAAGAAAGTTGTGTGTCAGTCACTCACCAGACTCAACTTAGGACAGACAGGCTGCCTCAGAGGTGGGAGAGGCTTCCTTAGTCCTCCATCAATGCCCAGGCTATGCTCAATTAAAAAAAAAAAAATCTCTGTCACCCGGGCTGGAGCACAGTGGTGCAGTCATAGGTCACTGCAGCTCAAGTGATCCTCCCACCTCAGCCTTCGGTAGCTGGGACCACAGGCACGCATCGCCACACCCTAATGATTTAATTTTTTGTAGACAAAGAATCTTGCTGTGTTGGCCACGTTGGTCTTGAACTCCTGGACTGAAGCGAGCCTCCCACTTCCGCCTCCCGAAGTGCTGGGATTCTAGGCATGAGCCACCACGCCCAGCCTAATGATCTCTCTTGTACTACAAAACCCCTAGCATGGGCTGGCTGAGGTCAAGATGAGCCCTTCCCCAAGGAGGCAGCCTCAGTGCAGGACAACAGCCTAGGCAGTGCCTGAGAACCTTTATTGACCACATGACCCCCTCAGGGGTGCTAGTGGGGTGCCCTCCGGCCTCTGGGCAGCAGCCGCCGCCACAGTTCTTGGGCGAGCAGCTTCTGTTCCCTGCGGGCACCCTGAAGCACACTCCGGTTTTCCTGGGCCCTCCGGATCAGGTAGGGGATCACCTCCTCCAAGGAGCCATAGGGGATGGACTTATATACTGCATAGCCGGCCTGCCCTGCAGAGACAGTGGGTTTTGTTTTTTTTATTTTTTGGTGTCTTTTTCTTTTCTTTTTTTCTTTTTTCTTTCTTTCTTTTTTTTTTTTTTTTGAGACAGAGTCTCACTCTGTTACCCAGGCTAGAGTGCAATGGTGTGATCTCAGCTAACTGCAAACTCCACCTCCTGGGTTTGAATGATTCTTCTGCCTCAGACTCCTGAGTAGCTGGGATTACAGGCGTGCCACACCATACCCAGCTAACTTTTTTTGTATTTTTAGTAGAGACGGGTTTTCACCACTTGTTCAGGCTGGTCTCCAACTCCTGACCTTGTGATCCGCCTGCCTCAGCCTCCTAAAGTGCTGGGATAACAGGTGTGAGCCACCACACCCGGCCACGGTTTTTGGTGTTTTTCTGAGAGAGTCTCACTCTGTTCCCCAGGCTGGGGTACAATGGCACAATCTTGGCTCACTACAGTCTCCGCCTCCCGGGTTCAAGCAATTTTTGTGCCTCAGCCTCCAGAGTGGCTGGGATTACAGGAGCTTGCCACGACACCCTGCTATTTTTTGTATTTTTAGTAGAGATGGGGTTTTACCATGTTGGCCAGACTGATCTCGAACTCCTGACCTTAAGTAATCCTGCTTTGGCCTCACAAAGTGCTGGGATTACAGGCGTGAGCCACCTCGCCCAGCCTGGAGTGTTGACAGGGTATGGGCTTGGGCTGGGGAGAGACTCCCCAGTCTCCACCTGGAACAGAGACTTCTGTATCTGAGAACTTGGCAGATTAAGTGAGTTGGATAAAATTCCTAACTGAAAAAGCTAAAAGAAAGTCCTGGAGCAAACTTTTTTCTGTGAGACACAGTCTTGCTCTGTGGCCCAGGCTGGAGTCCAGTGTTGTTATCATGACTCACTGCTGCCTTGACCTCCCAGGCCCAAGCAGCCCTCCCACCTCAGCCTCCTGAATAGCTGGGACCACAGGCATACACCACCATGCCCAGCTAACTGTTCTTATTTTATTTATTTATTTTTTTTATGGGGTCTCGATCTGTCACCCAGGCTGGAGTGCAGTGTCGAGATCTTGGCTCACTGCAACCTCTACTTCCCAGGTTCAAGTGGTTCTCTTGCCTCAGCCTCCACAGGCATGCACCACCATGCCAACTAATTTTTGTATTTTTAGTAGAGATGGGTTTTCCCCATGTTGGCCAGGCTGGTCTCGAACTCCTAACCTCAGGTGATCCACCCGGCTCAGCCTCCCAAAATACTGGGATCACAGGCATGAACCACCAAGCCTAGCCTATTTATTTTGTTTTTGAGACAGAGTCTTGCTCTGTTGTCCAGGCTGGAGTGCAGTGGCACAATCTCAGTTCTCTATAACCTCTGCCTCTTGGGTTTAAGTGTTTCTTCTGCCTTAGCCGCCCAAGTAGCTGGGATTATAGGCATGCACCATCATGCATGGCCACTTTTTGTATTTTTAGTAGTACAGATGGGTTTTACCATGTTGGCCAGGCTGGTCTTGAACTCCTGACCTCAAGTGATCCACCCACCTTGGCCTCCCAAAGTGCTGAGATTGCAGTGAGCCACCACACCCAAACCCAGCTAATTATTTTTATTATTTGTAGAGGTGGTTGGGGTGGCTCTCACTATATTGCCCTGGCTGGTCTCAAACTCCTGGGCTCAAGTGATCCTCCTGCCTCTGCCTCCCAAAATGCTGGGATTACAGGCGTGAGCCACTGCATCTGGCCTGCATTTTTGAAAATCTTAGTTATTAGAATGCTGCCAAGAGAGTAAGAAATTTACTAATCTAACAATTAAAAGAAAGTAAGGCTGGGCATGGTGGCTCATGCCCGTAATCCCAGCACTTTGGGAGGCCAAAGCAGGTGGATCAGCTGAGGTCAGGAGTTTGAGATCAGCCTGGCCAACATGGTGAAACCCATCTCTACTCAAAATACAAAATTAACCGAGTGTAGTGGCAGGTGCCTGTACTCCCAGCTACTTGGGAGGCTGAGGAAGGATAATTGTTTAAATCTGGGAGGCGAAGGTTGCAGTCAGCCAAGATGGCACCACTGGACTCCTGCCTAGGTGACAGAGCAAGACTCCATCTCTAAATGAATGAATGAAAAAATAAATAAATAAGAGAGGATTAGAATCCGGAGAGAGAAGGGACACCCAGTAAGCCACTCCTGCCCTGAAGGCAAAACCAAGCTGATAGCTGATAGCTTCACAGATTTGTAGGGGTACAGCTGAATCAGACTTCAAGCCTAACTGAGGTGAGAGGTGTAAGGGAGAACTTCCCCAAATTAAGCTGGAACCCAGAAAAGCTACACCCTCAGAGTTATAAAAAGTCAACCCTCTGACCTTCCCCCAGTCCCAAGGAATCGTCTCAGCCATAAACAGGTCAAGGAAGAAAACAAAAAAATCCACTTCTGGAAAGTTGGGGCTATGGGTTAACCCCTTTATGTATTTGCAGCTCAAACTTGCACCAGTGCGGTGTCTCAAGAAACCTCAAGCTGTGAATTTAGGATAAAGTGATTTCATTCCCCTTAGCACCTGGCAGAAGGAAACATTAATTATCTGGTGTCAGGCCCTGAGGAGCATCAGAGTAAAGATAACAAGACACACAAGAAATACTACATCATGATCAAGAACCAGCAGAAACGGCAGACAGCAGACACAGAGACACAGCCTTGGAAGGCTTGCAGACATTGGAATGACAGATCTCTCTGGAAGGATCTGGAATTGGTTGGGAATAGAAGAAGGGCTCTGGCTGGGAGGTAGTGACACCTGGGGCTTGGTGGGGGTAGGGGAGCCATTAACATACCTAGTGCCAGAGAGACGTGGTCACACATGCCCAGAAGTTGTCCGAAACAGACAGGCCCGTCCAGAGGAATGCCCAGCTCCCACATGCTACAGAAAAGGCAACATCATCAGTCCAGACCGTGGCTGCATCTAGAACTTAAAGTCAGCCACTACACACCCATATGGTGGTTGCAGTAATTTAAAAACAATTTTTTTTTTTTTTTTTTTAAGATGGGGTTTCACCATGATGGCCAGGTTGAACTCCTGACCTCAAGTGACCCACCCACCTCGGCCTCCTAAAGTGCTAGGATTAAAGGCGTGAGCCACCGTGCCCCACCTAAAAAAATTTTTTTTGAGACGGAGACTCACTCTGTTGCCCAGGCTGGAGTGCAGTGGTGTGATCTTGGCTCACTGCAACCTCCACCTCCTGGGTTGAAGCAATTCTCCTGCCTCAGCCTCCTGAGTAGCTGGGATTACAGGCACCCACCACCATGCCTGGCTTATGTTTGTATTTTTAGTAGAGATGGGGTTTCGCCATGTTGATCAGGCTGGTCTCGAACTCCTGACCTCAGGTGATCCACCGGCTTCAGCCTCCCAAAGTGCTGGGATTACAGGTGTGAACCACCGCGCCCGGCACAGTAATTCAAATACTGAAGTATTTTCAAACTCAATGACAAATAATACCAAGTCCTTTGCATTCCTTGAAGCGCCCTCTCTCCCCCCTCCCAGTGACTCCCAGCCACTTTCCTGGAACCCTCAGAACTCCTCATGCCCCAGCAAATAAGGGACAATGATTTGTCCATCTGGGACCTGTAAGGACCTACAGGTATAGCAGGGGTTAATGTGTTTTTTGTTTATTTTAAGAGATAGGGTCTTGCTTTGTTACCCAGGCTGGAGTGCAGTGGCTCAAGCACCGCTCATTGCAGCCTCACCCTCCTGGGCTCAAGCGATCCTCCCACCTCAGCCTCCCAAACAGCTGGGACTACAGGTGTGTGCCGCTGCACCCAGCTGTTTTTAAAAATTTGTTGTAGAGCTGGGCGTAGTGGCTCACGCCTGTAATCTAAGCACTTTGGAGGCCAAGGCAGGCGGATCACCTGAGGTCGGGAGTTCAAGACCAGCCTGACCAACATGGTGAAACCCCGTCTTAAAAAATAAAAATAAAAAAGAAATTTGTTGTAGAAATGGGGTCTTGCTCTAATCTGATTCAATTTAAAGATGCTAATTAAAAAAATAGAGTCTTGCTATGTTGCCCAGGCCAGTCTCAAACAATCCTCCAATTCAGCCTCCCAAAGTATTGGGATTATAGGCATGTGCCAACCGCACCTGGCTATAAATATTTTTTAAATCTTCTGCAGAACACTTCTGTCCATCTCTGTCGTTCAAGAAAGGGAGAGAAAGGGAGGGCCCTTTTGTGGGCACCTACTTCCCGCCCGTTCCTCCACCTCATACCACTTGGTTGCTTGGCGAACAGATTCCTCATTGTGGGAAGCCACCATGAGGTGGCACATAGGGCTATGGCGGGCCACATGCGTCAGCATCAGTTCCAGGCAGCGGCTGTAACTGAAGGAAGATACTCTGTTCAGCTCACCTGGTGAGCGAGGGTCAGGCCCCAGGAATTGGAGGGGGTGGGGTGCTCCTAAATGAGGGATCTCTGGAACCAGTACCCCGTTCTATCTGCTCCAGCTGTAAGGGACAAACAACCCTCTGTGAGCCACTTTCATCTTTTGGGGTTTTTTGGGGGGGGTTGTTGGTTTGTTTTTGAGGCAGAGTCTCACTCTTTACCTAAGCTGGAGTGCAGTGGTGATCTCAGCTCACTGCAGCCTCTGCCCCCGGGTTCAAGCGATTCTCCTGCCTCAGCCACCTGAGCAGCTGGGATTACAAGCATGTGCTAACATGCCCAGCTAATTTTTGTGTATTTAGTAGAGACAGGGTTTCACCATGTTGGCCAAGCTGGTCTTGAACCCCTGACCTCAGGTGATCTGCCTGCCTCAGCCTCCTAAAGTGCTGGGATTACAAGCATGAGACACCACGCCTGGCCATAATTTTTTATTTTTAATGTTTTTACAGGCAGGGTCTCGCTATGTTGCCCAGATTGGGCTCAAACTCCTGGGCTCAGTCTTCCCGCCTCAGCCTCCCAAGTAGCTAGGGTGACAGGCACACGCCACTGTGCCCGGCTTGGTGCCAGTTAAGCCGATGGGACACAAACGTGCCCTGGAGCCCTCAAGCATGGCTAGGCCACCTGCTCTGTAACCTGGGTGAGTCCCTGTGGCCCCCAGAGAAGGTACCAGGAAGTAAAGATCTAAGGAGGTGAAGAATGGGGCCATGCTACTGTCTGCAGGGGGAACGTCCCAGGTAGTGGGAACAGGAAAAGCCAAGGCCCTGGGGATCATCAAGGAGGCCAGAGTGTCTGCAGTGGAGTGAGGAAGAGGAAGAGAGTGAGGGGAAGTTATGGAAGTGACAGAGACCAGAGCATGTGGGGCTTAGAGGCCACTGTAAGGATTTCTTTTTGGTTTTTTGTTTGTTTTGAGACAGAGTCTTGCTCTGTCACCCAGGGTGGAGTGCACCGATGCAGTCATGGCTCACTGCAGCCTTGAATTCCTGGCCTCTAGTGATCCTCCCACTTCAGCCTCCTAAGTAGCTGGGACTACAGGCACATACTGCCATGTGCCATTTTTAACATTTGTTTAGAGATGGGGGTCTCCCTATGTTGCCCAAGCTGGTCTCCAACTCCTGTTCTCAAGTGAATCTCCAACCGCAGCCTCCCTAAGTGCTGGGATTACAGGTATGAGCCACTGCACCCGGCCACTAGGTGTTATTATTTCCCGCAGAAGCCAGCTGGCCCAGGCCTACCTCCGACTGGTGGCCTCATAGTCAGGCTGAGTGGGGTCTTCGGTCCCTTGGAGCCGGGCCACTGCTCTCTCCTTGTCCAGATACGCACCCCGTACCAGCTTCACTCCGAAGGCCAGGCCAGCCCTGTGCGCGGCCTCTGTGTCCCGCTCCAGCCGCTCAAGTGTGTCCTGCAGGGCACGCGGGCAGGTTCTGGTAGGTCGGGGTGTGGGGACCCCAGCCTGCACCTCCCGGAACACACCACACACCTTTAGATAGGCCTGGTAGGTGTTCCACACCCAGGGCCCGCCTTCCCCCGGGCTGTTCCAGCGCATGGCCAGGGCAGCCACAAGCAGTGAGAGTGCGGGGTTCAGTGAGGTGTACTCTGCATCCACCAGGAGCCGCACGTGCCGGGCCCGGGCATGCTGAGGGTGACGGAGACGGCAGTCAGGGCCCTCCTGGGAGTCCAGCAGGGGCACTGGAGCCAGACCCCGGCAGGAGGGGTTACCTGTGCCACCCGGTGCAAGCGGCTGAGGGAGGCCTGGAGGTGCTGGTTCTGCTCCGCATTGAGACAGGAAACCTGGAGGCTCTAGGGCGCAGCAGGGGAAGTGGGAAGAAGCTTAGAAGTTGCTAGAAATTTGAAAATGAGGAATATCAGATAGGTACTATTTATTAAAGTGGTTCTGAGCCCAGAATCAGGGTTTGAATCCAGTCTCCGCCACACTATTGTGTGACCTCGGGCAAGTTGTACAACCTTTCTAGGCCTCAGTTTTTTGGGGTTTTTTTTGGTTTTCTTTTTGAGATAGAGTCCTGCTCTGTGGCCCAAGCTGGAGTGCAGTGGTGTGATCTTGTCTCACTGCAAACTCCGCCCCCTGGGCTCAAGCAATTCTCCTGCTTCAGCCTCCTGAGTAACTAGGATTACAGGCTCACGCCACCACGCCGGGTTAATTTTTGTGTTTTTAGTAGAGACGGAGTTTCACCATGTCGACCAAGCTGGTCTCGAACTCTTGATCTCAAGTGATCTGCCCACCTCAGCCTCCCAAGGTGGTGGGATTACAAGCATGAGCCACCGTGCTCAGCCCTCCCTTCTACTCTTTGAACACAACAGGTACCTTACCACCTCCAGACCTTCGTCTGCTCCCACTTCTTCAAGTCTTTGTTCTAATGTCACTTTCTCAGCATGGTTTTCCCTGCCATACATTGGCAACTTCTTTTCGTATTCCTCAGCTTTATTTTTCCTTACTTGTTACATACTGACTTTTTTTTTTTTTTTTTTTTTTTTTTTTTGAGACAGGATCTTGCTGTGTTGCCCAGGCTGGAATGCAGTGGCATGATCATGGCTTATTGCAGTCTCTTCCTGTCTGGCTCAAGCAGTTCTCCTGCTTCAGCCTCCCAAGTACCTAGGACCACAGGCACCCACCACCATGCCTGGCTAATTTTTTGCTATTGTAGAGTCAGGGACTCCCTGTGTTGCCCAGGCTGGTCTCAAACTCCTGAGCTCAAGCGATCCTTCCACCTCAGCCTCCAAAAGTGCTGGGATTCTGACTTTGATTTTAATTGTCTCTTGCCCCTAACTAGCAAGTAAGTACCTCAAGGTCAGGGATTTTGCCTTCATGCCTCCTTGTCCCCTAGCGCCATATCTGGAGCAAGATAAATGTTCAGCAAGCACTTCAGGAGTGGATACGCTTGTAACGTGGGAATAAGAACCGTTCCTAACTCAGTCTTGTTATGCGGATTCATCGGTTCAATGTGAGCTGCTGGTGACTCCAGGGAGTCTGGCTGGGTTCAAATAAATTGGGAAATGGAAGAAAGAGGAACAGGTGGGGCTGAAAGCTTTTCATTACATCCAACAGGGTCGATACGGATGATGCAGGTGTAGGCTTCCTCATGGAACCCCACCTGGAGGCAGGTTGGGCTAGAAGCTGCAACCCTCCCCATCGACAGGGAGAATGTTCCCTCCTGGAGCAGGGAAGAGCTGGGGGCAGCGGCCTGGTTACCTCTTCCCCCGTCAGAGGATTGTCTCCCCCTTGACTTGGGGCATGGTCTCAGGCCCTCAGGGAGCTATTTCAGACACCCACCAAATATTTAACCCGTTTAATCTTTACCACCCTCCGATGTAGCAACTGTTATTAACCCCCATTTTCTAGATGGGGAAAGTGAGGCACAGAGCGGTGAAGTCACTGGTTTAAAGTCACACAGCTAACTCAGGGCAGAACTGAGGCTCTTTCCAGAGCCTGGATATTTGTTTCTTTTCTTTAATCTTCTCCCTCCCTCCCTCCCTTCTTCTTATTTATTTATTTTTTTTTTTTTTGTGAGACAGGGTCTTACTCTGTCTCCCAAGCAACAGTGCAGTTGTGCGATTTTGCCTCCCGAGGTCAAGTGATTCTCCTGCTTCAGCCTCCAAGTAACTGGGACTACAGGCGCACAGCACCACTTCTGGACAATTTTTATATTTTTAGTAGAGATGGGGTTTCACCATGTTGCCCAGGCTGGTCTCAAACTCCTGACCTCAAGTGATCCACCTTTACTTAGCCTCCCAAAGTGCTGAGATTACAGGTGTGAACTATGGCACCCGGTCCTCTTTCTTTCTTTCTTTCTTTGAGACAGGGTCTCATTCTGTCACCTAGGCTGGAGTAAAGTGGTGCGATTTTAGCTCACTGCAGCCTCAAACTTGCCAGCTCAAGCAATCCTCCCACCTTAGCCTCCCAAGTAGCCAAGATTACAGGTGCCTGCCACCACATCCAGCTAATTTTAAGAATTTTTTTTCTTTTTTGTAGAAATGAAGGCTTACTATATTACCCAGGCTGGTATTGACCTCCTGGGCTCAAGCAATTCTCCTGCCTTAGCCTCCTGAGTAGCTGGAACTACAGGTGTGCTCCACCACGCAAGCTAATTTTTAATTTTTTTTTTTATAGAAATGGGGTCTCACTATGTTGCCCAGGCAGGTCTCAAACTCCTGGGCTCAAGGAAACCTCCCATATTAGCCTCCCAGAATGCTGATTACAGGTGTGAGCCACTGCACCCAGCCTGTTTCAATCCTTAAAACCACCGAGAAAGTGCTGTCACTCTCCCCACAGGAATAAACTAAAGCTTATGAAGAGGTGAACCCCTTACTTGCCAAAGCTGATTTTCTAAACCATTTCTATGTGTTCTCTGACACAGTATAAAGATTACAAATAGGGGCCAGGTGTGGTGGCTCACACCTATAATCCCAGCAATTTGGGTGGCTGAGGCGGGTGGATCACTTGAGGCCAGGAGTTTGAGACAAGCCTGGCCAACATGGTGAAACCTCGTCTCTACTAAAAATACAAAAATTAGCTGGGTGTGGTGGTGGGTGCTTATAATCCCAGCTACTCGGGAGGCTGAGGCAGGAGAATCGCTTGAACCCAGAGGTGGAGGTTGCAGTGAGCCGAGATCGTGCCACTGCACTGTAGGTGACAGAGTGAGACTCTGTATCAAAATAATAATAATAATAATAATAATAAATACATACATACATAAAAATTACAAATAAAAAAAGATGAGAAAGAAATGTCAGCATGTCCACTGTAGCATCGTTTGGGGGATGGAGACTCAGAGGCCACCAGGGGTCCACCCCAGGAGAGGTAAACCATGCAGCTAGATGCAACTATTGGAAACAGTGGGGGCTGGGCATGGTGGCTCAGCCTGTAATCCCAACAATTTAGGAGGCTGAGGCAAGAGGATTCTTGAGGCCAGGAGTTAGAGACCAGCCTGTGCAACATAGTGAGACCCCTTCTTTACAAAAATTTTGAAAATTAGCCAGACGTGGTGGTTCATGCCTGTAATCCCAGCTACTTGGGAGGCTGAGGCAGGAGAATTGCTTGAACCCAGAAGTTCGAGGCTATAGTGAGCTGTGATCATGCCACTGCACTCCAGCCTGGGCGACAAAAAGAGACCCTGTCTAAAAACGAAAACTAAAACGAAACAAAACTTTGTGGATCTTAATATCAGTGGAAAAAATAAGCGGTAGAATGAGAAAGCTGATATAATGCTTTCATGTAAATTTAAAACATCGTCTCAACTGATGGAGATGGGCAGGAGGGAACTTCGCAGTGATGGAAATGTTCTAAATCTTTTTTTTTTTTTTTTTTTTTTTTTTTTTAGTCATAGTCTCACTCTCATCACCCAGGTTAGAGTACAGTGGTGTGATCTTGGCTCACTTCAACCTCTGCTTCCTGGAGTCAAATGATTCTCTTGCCTCAGCCTCCCAAGTAGCTGAGATTATAAGCGCCCACCACCATGCCCAGCTAATTTTTGTATGTTTAGTAGATACCACATTTTAGTAAATATCACATTGGAGAAAATAAAAGATAAACAAAAAAATAAGAAACAAAAAATATCACATTGGTCAGGCTGGTCTCGAACTCCTGACCTCAGGTGATCACCTGCCGTGGCCTCCCAAAGTGCTGGGATTACAGGTGTGAGCCACTGCACCCAGCTGGAAATGTTCTAAATCTTTTTTTTTTTTTTTTTTTTTTTTTTTTTTTTCTTAATTTAAGGCAGAGTTCCTCTCTTTTTGTGCAAGCTGGAGTAGAGTGGTGCGATCTGGGCTCACTGCAACCTCCACCTCCCAGGTTCAAGTGATTCTCCTACCTCAGCCTCCCGAGTAGCTGCAATTACAGGTGCATGCCAACTCATCCAGTTAATTTTGTATTTTAGTAGAGATGGGTTTTGCCATGTTGGCTAGGCTGGTCTTGAAGTCCTGACCTCCAGTAATCTGCCTGCCTTGGCCTCCCCCAGGTGCTGGGATTATAGGTGTGAGCCACCGTGCCTGCCCATGTTTGAAATCTTGATAGGGATTTGGATTGCTCAAGTGTGTATATTTGTCAAGGTTCATCAAGGGACACAACTACAATGTGTGTAGTTCATTGTTTTACCTCCAAAGAAAATAAGTGCTGCAAATAATCACTGGGCTCTAATTAATGAACCCATTATTCACATCCTGAAGCATTTAGGGGTAAAATGTACTGATGTCTGCAATTTACTTTGAAATGCATCAAAAAATCAGATGGATTGATGGATGGAGAGAAGAGAGGGATGGAATGAAGAAAGGGATAGATGAGTATAGTTAAAGGTGGCAGGTACGTGGATGTTCACTGTACAATTCTTTTGACTTCTGTATATTTGAAAATTTTTATAATGGCATATTGGGGAAATTATGCCCCTCATGGAAGGTATACACCTGGCAAAACAAAATCATAGGAACAAAAAGATATACATTATACAAAACGGAAGGCTGGGCATGGTGGCTCACACCTGAGATCTCAGTACTTTGGGAAGCTGAGGCTGGAGGATTGCTTGAGGCCAGGAGTTAGAGGCCAGCAGTGTGCAACACAGTAAGACAAAGAAAGAGAGAGACAGAATGAAAGGGAGGGAGGGAAGAGGGGGGAGAGAGGGAAGGAGAAAAGGAAGGAAGGAAGGGAAGGAGGGAGGGAGAGAGAAGGAAAGAAAAGAAAAGAAGGGAGGAAGGAAGGGAGGGGAGCGAGAAAGAGAAAGAGGAAGGAAGGAAAGAGAAAGAAAAAGGAAAGAAGGAGTGAGAGAAAGAAAGATGGAGTAATGTTGAAATAGCATATAGAGATGAAAAGGAATGAATGAATGAATGAATGAACAAAGATCCCATTGGCCTAATCAGAGCTTACATGCAGCCAGCTGTCACCCACGTGGCTGTGTTGACTGAAGACACATTGATTTACCTCCTTCCAGTTCATAAACAGCTTCTATCCCAATCCCGCCTCTGAGAGCCTCCAGCCTCCAGGCCCCTCCCTGAGAACCCCAGGGGACCCTGATTCCATCCATTTCAGCCATGCTCTGGAGCTACAGCTGCATTTCTGCTGGCTGTTCCAAGCCCGGAGGTGGCCTGAGCATTTTGAACATCTGGCGTGCAGTGAGGTCACATCCCAGGCCAGAGCACTCTGTTCCCAACACTCACGCTTGAGATCTTTACCTGCCCAGAGTCCATGGCTTCGGCCAGCCTCTCAGGGCTCAGCTCCAAGGAGGCCCCTGGCCTTCTGACCCATGAGGTTAGCTCCTTCTGAAATGGGTTGGTTGGTGGGGTGGTGAGGGGAGCCCAGTGGGCAGCTGCCCCTTCCCCGCACCCCCATCTTTGCACCCCTTACACAGAGCCGAGTGCTGGTCAGCGCCGTCACCTTCAGCTGCATGAAGCTGGGCTGGCTGAGGGGCTCCAGGAGACTCCGTGACAGGTCCACACCCCGCAGCATAACACCGAGGTTCCCCTCGTAGCAGGCCTCACTGTCCAGCCAGCAGGCGTCAGGGCCCGACCTGCGAAGCCCCTTCCTGCATCCCCCCAGCCTCCCTGGGCCCTGTCCCCTACTCACCCAGTCTTGGCAGTGGAGTCCGGCTCCTCCTCAGTGGGCACTGCCAGCAGCGGCCGGAGGCCGAGGGTCCGAAGCTGCTGCACGCAGTCCCTCACCTCCTCTGCTGTCTCACCGGCCACAAACTGCCCGTAGAAGGATGCTCGGAGAAACGCGCCCGAGAGCCGGGAGCCCAGGAGTCGCTGAGACCAGGCCTGGAGCTGGGTGACAGGGAGCGAAGGCTCAGCGCCAGGCTTCGGGGAGCCTTCAGGCTGGTCCTCGGGGTCACTGCTTACCGCCAACCCGTGGGTGACTAGTGGGGGCCAGGCACACAGCCGGAGAACCAGCAAGGCCCGTGTCAGCTCTTTCGTGTGCTTGAGTTGGAAGGCGCCGCCATCAAATTTCAGGGGTGGACAGCTCCTGGAGGGGGGACCGGCTTGAGAACAGAGCGCGCGGCAGGTCTGGAGCATCCTGGGTTCCTGGCTGCATCCACACCAGGTGAAGGGACTCTGGAAGCAGCAGGTTCACCAACTGCCCCTTGCCCAGGCTGGGGGCAGTGACTGATGGCAAAGCTTCAGGATCACAGGCTCTTTGGTGGCGTGGGGTGGGAGGGGGAATTAATTATTAACCAATGGGGACAGAGTTCAGAGTAACGGTAACAGGAGGCAAATCCCCAGTAATAGCCTCCAACAATCTTCAGCACAACAGCCTGCGCTTATTAGGTGACCGCCTTGTACTGGGGAGAGCAGGGGCCCTGGGGCAAGGGTCCCAAGACATTGGGCTTTGTGATCTGGGGCAAGCTATGTAACCACTTTTGTGGCAACTGCTTCCTCTTAAAATTGGAAATGCTGTAGTGTCATTGAATACATTTGAAAATATGGCTCTCACATTTATAATCTCTGCACTTTAGGAGGCCAAGACCAAGGAGTTGGAGACCACCCTGGGCAACATAGTGAGACCCCATCTCTACGAAAAATACAGAAGCTGGGCATGGTGGCACGCACCTGTGGTCCCAGCTACTCGGGAGGCTGAGGAAGGAGGATCTCTTGAGCCCAGGAGGTCAAGGGTGCAGTGAGATGTGATTGCACCACTGCACTCCAACCTGGGTGACAAAGTGAAACTCTGTCTCTAAAAAAAGAAAAAAGAACAGACAAATAACCTATATAACCCAGTGGTTTCATGCTAAGTACATATCCTAGAGACCTTGAACATGGATAGCAGGAAACATGTATAGGAAAGGACGTTCAAAGGAGCACTGTCTGAACCACCCAAATGTCCATCGAAAGGATGATGGAGCCGGGCGCGGTGGCTCACGCCTGTAATCCCAGCACTTTGGGAGGCTGAGGCGGGTGGATCACGAGGTCAAGAGATCGAGACCATCCTGGTCAACATGGTGAAACCCCGTCTCTACTAAAAACACAAAAAATTAGCTGGGCATGGTGGCGCGTGCTTGTAATCTCAGCTACTCAGGAGGCTGAGGCAGGAGAATTGCCTGAATCCAGGAGGCGAAGGTTGCGGTGAGCCGAGATCGCGCCATTGCACTCCAGCCTGGGTAACAAGAGCGAAACTCCGTCTCAAAAAAAAAAAAAAAAAAAAAAAGAAAGGATGATGGATACATACACAGTGGTGTAGTTATGCAGTGGCGTACTATACCGTTATGAAAAATAATGGATACTGATACACACAGCTGTGTGGCTGAATCTCACAGTGTCAAGTGAAAGAAGCCAGGCACCAAACAGAGCAAGCTGTATTATTCTTTTCAATAGCTATAAAAGCAAGGAAAATAAAACTACAGCAAAATTTTGGGAATACTTGTATGGGTGGTCAAACTATAAAGATAAGAAAAGTAAGGAGACGATTATCACAGAGGTCAGTGAGGTGGTTGATTGCCTGTGGAGATGGGAGGAGTTGTAACTGGATAGAGGCTTATGGGGGCTTCTATGTCCTATTTTTTTTTAAATGGAAACCATATGTCCTAGGTCTGTTTTGTTTTGTTTGTTTTGTTTTGATTTGTTAGAGTGATCATTGCTCTGTTGCCCAGGCTGGAATGCAGTGGTGTGATCTTGGCTCACCGCAACCCCCAACTCGCAGGTTCAAGTGATACACACCTGCCTCAGCCTCCTAAGTAGCTGGCATTACAGGCACCGACCACCACTCCCAGCTAATTTGTGCATTTTTGTATAGATGGGGTTTCACCATGTTGACCAGGCTCGTCTTCAACTCCTGAACTCAAGCGATCCACCTTCCTCCTCCTCCCAAAGTGCTGGGATTACAGGCCTGAAGTCCTCGGTCTTAACATGGATGATAATTCACAGTTGTTCACATTGTAAGGTTTTGTTTTGTTTTGAGACAGAGTCTTGCTCTGTCTTCCAGGCTGGAGTGCAATGGGGTGATCACTGCTCACTACAGCCTTCAACTTCTGGGCTCAAGCAATCCCCCCGCCACCTCCACCTCCCAAGTAGCTGGGATTACAGGTGTGTGTGCTCACACCCAGGATAATTTTGACTGGGGTTAGTCACATGGGCATGGCTGACTGCTCGAATGACTGACCTTGTCTCTAGCCCCTCCAGAGCTCAAGCTGATACTACAAGGCCCAAGGTCCCCAGATAAACAAAGATATTCTTTTTTTTTTTTTTTTTTTTTTTTTATAAAGACAGGGTTTCACCATGTTGGTCAGGCTGGTCTTGAAATCCCGACCTCAGGTGATCCACCTGCCTTGGCCTCCAAAGTGCTTGGATTATAGGCGTGAGCCACCACGTCTGGCCTAAACAAATATATTGTTTTATTTTTTTTTTTTGGAGATGGAGTCTCACTCTGTCACCCAGGCTGGAGTGCAGTGGTGTGATTTTTGGCTCACTGAAACCTCTGCCTCCCAGGTTCAAGCAATTCTCCTGCCTCAGCCTCCTGAACAAAAATACTCTTATCAAGAAGGATAGTACAAGGGCTTAGTGGTTTCCTCCCAGGAACTGGGCTGTGTTAATCCTTTACTACACAACCCCCAATTCACAGATGTTAAAAGTGGAGGCTCAGGCTGGGCATGGTGGCTCACGCCTGTAATCCCAGCACTTTGGGAGGCTGAGGCGGGCAGACCACCTGAGGTCAGGAGACCAGCCTGATCAATACGGTGAAACTCTGTCTTAAAAAAAAGAAAGAAAAAAAAAAGTGGAGGTTCAGCCGGGCACAGTGCCTCACGCCTGTAATCCCAGCACTTTGGGAGGCGAAGGCGGAGGGATCACCTAAGGTCAGGAATTCAAGACCAGTCCAAACAACATGGTGAAACCCAGTCTCTACTAAAAATACAAAACTTAGCCAGGTATGGTGGTGGGCACCTGTAATCCCAGCTACTCAGGAGGCTGAGGCAGGAGAATTGCTTGAACCCCGGAGGTGGAGGTTACAGTGGGCTGAGATCATGCCACTACACTCCAGCCTAGGCGGCAAGAGTGAAATTCTGTCTCAAAAAAAAAAAAAAAAAAAGTGGAGGCTCAGAGAGATGGAGACACCTGCCTGAAGTTGTACAGCCAGTTATCAGCCAAGTGCTGATGTAAGACCTCTTTCCCCTAGACACCAGACTATAACTTTTTTTTTTTTTTGAGGAGTCTCACTCTGTCACCCAAGCCGGAGTGGAATAGTGCGATCTTGACTCACTACAACCTCTGCCTCCTGGCTTCAAGGGATTCTCCTGCCTCCGCCTTCTGAGTAGCTGGGATTATATGCACCCACAACCATGCCCAGCTAATTTTTGTATTTTTAGTAGAGATGGGGTTTCACCAGGTTGGCCAGGCTGGCCTCAAACTCCTGACCTCAAGTGATCCACCAGCCTTGGCCTCCTAAAGCACTGGGATTACAGGCATGAGCCACCATCCGCAGCCTGTGAGATTTTTACGACCTCTTTCTGTTGTCTTTTCTTTAGTACACAATCCACAGAGCTGATTGACAACAGCCGGAGTTAGAATCCAGCAAAACCTGAGCTAAAAAAGCCTTTTAATTTTTTTTTTTTTTTTTCCTGTAGAGACAGGGTCTTGCTATATTGCCCAGGCTGGTCTCAAACTCCTGGCCTCAAGGAATCCTCTCACTTTAGCTCCCAGCGTACTGGGATTACAGGTGTGAGCCATCATGCTCAGCCCTGAAAATGAAGCCTTCAAGCTTTTATTTAATTATTTATTTTTTGAGATGGAGTCTCACTCTGTTACCAGGCTAGAGTGCAGTGGCACAATCTCGGCTCACTACAGCCTTGAATCCCAGGTTCAAGTGATTCTCCTGCCTCAGCTTCCTGAGTAGCTGGGACTACAGGCATGTGCCACACAACCACGCACAGCTAATTTTTATATTTTTAGTAGAGATGGGGTTTCACCATGTTGGCCAAGATGGTCTCAATCTCTTGACCTTGTGATCTGACCACCCTGACCTCCCAAAGTGCTGGGATTACAAGCCTGAGCCACCCCACCCAGCTGCCTTTAAGCTTTTTTTTTTTTTTTTTTTTTTTTTTTTTTTTTTTTTTGAGACGGAGTTTCGCTCTTGTTACCCAGGCTGGAGTGCAATGGCGCGATCTCGGCTCACTGCAACCTCCGCCTCCTGGGTTCAAGCAATTCTCCTGCCTCAGCCTCCTGAGTAGCTGGGATTACAGGCACGCGCCACCATGCCCAGCTAATTTTTTGTATTTTTTTAATAGAGACGGGGTTTCACCATGTTGACCAGGATGGTCTCGATCTCTTAACCTCGTGATCCACCCGCCTCGGCCTCCCAAAGTGCTGGGATTACAGGCTTGAGCCACCGCGCCCGGCCGCTTTTTTTTTTTTAATTACATAAATGGTTCATATTTTTAAAAATTAAAATACCAAAGGAAGCAGAGTGAAAAGTTAGTCTTTCTCTCCTGAATTTCTGTGCACCAGTCTCTTCTCTCTAAGGCAACAGAGTATCCTTGCAGAGATAGTTTATGCATAGAAAGTTGCATAAGCTTTCTAGTTTCTTTTTTTTTTTTTTTGAGACAGAGTCTCACTCTATCACCCAGGCTGGAGTGCAGTGGTGTAATCGTGGCTCACTGCAACCTCCACCACCCAGGTTCAAACAATTCTCTGCCTCAGCCTCCCAAGTAGTTGAGATTACAGGCGCCCACTACCACACCCAGCTAATTTTTGTATTTTTAGTAGAGACAGGGTTTCACCATGTTGGCCAGGCTGGCCTTGAACTCCTGACCTGGTGATCCACCCACCTCAGCCTCCCAAAGTGCTGGGATTACAGGCTTGAGCCACTGTGCCCGGCCAAACTTTCTAGTTTCTATAGCAGCTATATCTCTCCAGCACCTGTACGTTACCTTTATTTATTACATGAATGATAAAATATTACTTGTGCTTTTGCACACTGCTTTTGAAATTTTTACTTATTTTATTTTATTTATCTGTTTTTGAGACAGGGTCTGACTCTGTTGCCAGGCTGGAGTGTGGTGGTATGATTTCGGCTCACTGCAGCCTCAAACTCCTAGACTCAAACAATCCTCCTACCTTGGCCTCCCAAATGCTGAGTTTACAGGCATGAGCCTGCATACTCAGCCTTTT